TAGTGATCCTCATATTTTGAAAACTTTAACTTTAAATATTAAGACGTCCGGGTATCAAGTCCTGCCAGGAACCCAACCATTAGCCCTAGTATACAGAATCTATTACAAGGTCACTGGAACTAATATGAATTTCCAAGCCCTTAATAAGAGTCCTAAAGATCAAACTCTATTAATTCAAAGTAGTAAACTCGAGGCAAATAGAAAGCACAAGCCAGTCCATCCCAGTTATCCCAGTCATTCAGAATCCTCCCTCCTTCCATGAACCTAGTCAAATCAGAATCGCCTTCTCAGATCGTCCCTTTCCCGGGATGTTTTCCTATCCAAGTCAGCAATAGATTTTCCAGTCTAGGGACCACAGTCGGTCAAGTCCGCCCTAATTACCAGTCTGCCTTAATTTCTAGTTATGATCATTTTTAGATCAACACCCAAGTTACCCAGTCGCCAATCCCCCTTCGGAAGTCGTCCCCATATTTCCCAAAAGATAGTACCCATCTTTTAATAATTGAGTCTGTTCTCGATAATATTGCTAATCCAGTCACATTAGCAAAACACTATTTTCCCCCAAATCACCATTTTATGCCCCAATGTCCTTACAAATCCCTCAAATATTACAGGGACATCCTCCATGAAACCCAATAAGTTGAAATTAAGCCTATCAAAGACCACGAGAAACCCCACATCATTCTATACCATTCTATTTACATTCAAAAAATCATGAGTCAAGAAGAATTTGGTCGCCATCCTTATGATATGAAAACCCTCCAGTCGACCCTTTAGTACAACTATGCTGATTACATTGAAGCATGGTACACTATCTTCCTTCACCAAACAGTTGATTTCAGTCACTCTTGGTTCATCAATATTGATAGTAAATTCAAGAGTCCCTTTCCCTTTTGGTTTCTTCATTGGTGGGAAAAACATGGCCCAGTCGCTGATATCCTTCCTACCCAAACCCATAACCAATTATTTTTCCAGTAAATATAAATTTAATCAATCAGAATTATTCTTTCCCAAATTACTCCTTTTCATTGCCAGATACAAAGTCCCCTGGATATTGAAATGGAACTATCATGTAAATTGGGAATCCAAAGTTTTATCTCGCCAGTTTTCAGTCAAATGGTGGGATAAATTCAAAGTTGAAAGAATTGCAGATTATGTTTACAGAGATTTTCCTTCAGTTGCACAACCTTCGAAGACTAAACCCACGTCTCCCTGTGGATCTTCTTCTTTTCTCTCAACCGAGGGAAAATCAAAGTCAGAATTGCAAGAAATCTCCAGACAGTTGATTATTCAAGAATCTCAAATGGATGATGATGATGATGATGATGATGCTACCCCAAAATCAGAGTCATCTCTTAGTCAACCTCAGTTGCCTACTAGTCAAAAGAGTCCAGCTCAGAAGATGCTTTGGGCAAACTATCAGGACAGTCAAAACCCCTATGATTTGAGCTCCGACTAGTCAAAAGTTTTTTCCAATTTTAAAGCACTCAATAAAAGCAAATGCTTTTGCGTGTCTCTACAGTCAGATTCCCCCAATAGTCATCATCAAAAGTAAAAGTAAAAGTTGAGCTAATAGTGACGATCTCGTGCCTCTACAGAAAGATCCTCAGTATCCAATGCTATGAATAGTTCAGTTGTTTTCTTTTTTAAGGGGCTTTGGCCTCATTTGTAAGCAGAATACATTTTTAGTTTTCTGCTCAATTTTCAAAGCTTTCCTCGAGACTCCCTCAAAGAGAGCTATCAGTGTAAAACCGAGTGCTACTATGTATCCTCCTTACTATCAATAAAATCTTCCAATCAAGATTTTCAGTAAGTATAATGTTTTCAATTATTCATATTTTCATCTATGCATTAATTTCATTCATGCATAAATTCCGCATTTTCTATTATGTTTGCTTTCTTACTATCTATGCTAATCCCCTCTGGTTCTAGTCCCCTTCTGATATATATATATATATATATATATATATAAGATAAAGTGAAAGTGCTTTTCCTTTTACCAAATACATGAACAGAAAAGCCAATTCAACATAATGCCCTTTTAGTCATTATACACAGCTTACAACACTTTCACAAAAAAATTTAGCAAACCCTCAAACTGATTATTGTCAAACAACATTTATAAAAACAAAAAGTTTACCAAACACCAAATTGCTTTCTCTCACAGCAAGGCCCCATTTGGGATTGCTTTTTTTGGCCAAAAACTTGCTTCACTTCAAAGTTAAGCAATTTGTTGTGAATTGATTGCAAGCACACATTTCGCGCAAGTAATACAGTGATAAGTGAAGTGTCGTTCCCACGAAGAGTGATTTAATTTACTAAATACCAATTGTGATTAACCCAAGACTTTATTTGAACAATTGAATGATGAGATTCGATTGATTAATTAACTAAAACAATGAATAAAAGCAAGCGTAGGAAAATAAAGTAGTAAGATTCAAGTTATGAGAGCACTAGAGCTTCCAATTTCACTATAGCCAATTCTACCTAGTTCCCTTAGCATGTTAATCCTAATTGTTCTCCATGTTGACAGTCGATTTTCCCTATTTTATTCTCCATTCCTGGTTATACCAAAAGTAATCTTATTACCAACCCACTCTATCCCTAGTGATGGAATTAAGTTAATAAGAACCAATTAAACTCCTTGGAAAACCTGCAAAACAACTACATAAGTGATGACAAACATCCCTATCTAATCATGTAACTCATGGCATCTATTACAAGAAGCAACCCCAAATTGGATATCCCTATCATCAATTTTGCATCAAAACAATTAAATATTGGCCAAACATTCAAAGCATTAAGCATGGTAATAGATACTCAACATGGAAAAATACATGGAATTAACATTAAGTCAAGTAATTGTCCTATAGCAAAAAGAAATTAGTTCATGACAACTTTAATAAAAACCATGATAAACAGTGTCATAGGAAGGAAAAAACCAATTGAAGATTTGATCTCTGCACGACAACAACTCTAGCTCCAGGTTGTCTTCTTTGTCTCTCTAAAAGTCTCTCTCCTTTGAGTGTTTCGGCTATGAGTATGAATATATAGGAATTTTATGGTAGATGATGGAGGATAGATGATGATCAATGACCTAAACACGCTATTTATAATACTCCTACAAATCCTACCTATCTAAGGTATAATTACAATTGTTATAAAAATAGGATTCCTTCTAATATAAGGTCTTCTTTATTTCTCCTTGTTTGACTTGATAAGACTTGAACCATCTTGAACTAGGAAATTTGACAACATTCCTTGCAATGAAAGGAATGACTTGGCTTCTTTTTAATTAAACTCCAATCTTCATCTTCTTTCCCTTTTTATCACACTTTCTCCTATTTCACAATTCCTTCACAAATCTCACAAAACCAATTAAAACAACCAATTTAATCCAAGGAAATTAACAAATAAATAAGCAAATGAGGCATAATATATATATATATATATAATATAGGCTTATCACAATTTAAGGTGTTTGGTAAAAGTAAAATGTCCCTATTATTTTAAAAGTAGTGGCCTTTTGGTAGCAGCTTTTAAAAGCAGGCTTTGGGTTGCTTTTCAAAGTTGCTTTTAAAAGAAGCAAAGATGAGTCTTTAATGAATTTTTTTTTAATTTCTAAAATATCATCATTAACTTTTAAAAATGACATCACCTCCACCTCCACCTCCACCTCCACCTCCACATTCATGTGGATCACCAGCCTTTTCACTCAATTTTTTTGGTCTTCCCGGCTTTTGGTGTCTTAATGTTTGTATTTTTTTATGTCCCTCTGGCCTAGTATACCTCTTTTTTCTATATTGAATAAATTTCCTTTTTTTTTTTTTTTTCCATAAAGAAGTTCAATATCGTAGTTATAAAATTGTCATAGATATATAAGCATTGGACTAGCCACAGGTTTCTCTCTGTCCCTGTAACCTGTGTTCGTTTGCAATTGTCAAGTTTTCTTAATGTCTTTATGAACGAATAATACTACTCTTACTATATTTGTATACTATATTCTCATACAACATTATGCGGCGGATAAGGTGGATAGTCACATCAATCAAAATTAATTTAACATTTTCTTTTCTTTTATGATTTATTGACACTTTTTAATTGATGTGGTTGTCCACTTCATGTGCCACATAAGATAATATCAGAATGTGGTATTAATAGCATTACTCCTTTGTGAAATGGAAAATGCTAGACTTATCAGAGAGGTGTAACACAATGTGGTATAAAAATGTGGTAAGTCTAGCATAGCATTACCCTTGTGAAATATGAAGTCAAGTTTTCTTAACGTCTAATATGGGAGAGTATGAGAATGAGAGAAGATAATTTTTCTGGTTTTCAACATAGTTTCTTTGTATTGCTAACAACAAATTTATACAAGTAGATGGCTTGCTAACCAAGCTAATCATATTTGGTTTCCACAAGTCAAGTGAATATTTCCTGTTTCACACCTCCAACATTTATTGCTTTCACACACAAGCTAACAATTAGTGTCCATAATTTCTACATAAAAGCTAATTAGTGACAATGACGGTCTAGTTGTTTGACAATGTCCCGCTACATTGACTTAGATTTTTCTCTGAAGGATATGTTCAGAAAGGCATTGGCTGAGAATCAAGATCTCAATTGTGGTCCCTTATCTTCGAGGTTATCTTGTCAAAGGTCAGTAATGTATTTCTAGAGGGAAATTGAATGCAGATTTTGGACAAAGGTCAACACCAACATTCAATATCCTAGCTACTTTCACAACCATAAACTAAAATAATAAATACCCTAAACCCTATGCTCAGATATTCAATTTTGCACAAAATAATGCATCCAACTAACTCAACCAAAATAATTGCATCATTGAATATCTGAGCATAGGGTTTAGGGTATTTATTATTTCAGTTTGTGGTTGTGAGAGTAGCTGGGATATTGAATGTTGGTGTTGACATCAAACAAGCCTTTAACACAAGCGGATTTTGAAGTCTCGCCCTGAATAAAAGTTGAGGCCCTGCAAACCAACACAACTAGGAACGTCTTTGTGTCAACAATTTGCTCACTCGGTATATATATAACATTTGTTAAACATATATTATACACATAAAAAAATCGAGGCCCCTCAAAAATCAGGGGCCCTATTTCTTGGCACCACTTGCACACCCTCAGGGCCACCCCTGGCCCTACTTTGGGCTCTTCCTAGATCATCATCCAGCAACAAGCTTGAGTGGGAGACAGGAGCAGACTCGAAGTTATGAAGCCCCAAGGGTAACTCATACCCCAAGTTAGCAAGGTGATCAGCTGCTCTGCTTTGTTTTTATGGGTATAGTCCATGACTTAATAGCCGTGATTTTCAAGCTTCTTATGGTCATACTAGTAAGCCTAGCAGCAGCTGAAGATCTCAATTTCACCTACAATGGTTTCCTGTCTGCTAATCTTAGCCTAGATGGCAGAGCCCAGGTCACATCCAATGGCCTTCTGATGGTTACAAATGACACTAGACTAGGCCATGCCTTCTACCCCAACCCAGGACTCGGCCATGCCTTCTACCCCAACCCAGTAACCTTCAAGAACTCATCCAATGCTACCGCTTTCTCCTTCTCTACCACTTTTGTGTTCGCTGTCAGATCCGGAATGGCACCGCGTTTTGGTGGCCAGGGAATTGCCTTTGTCATTGCCCCGACAAGAGGGCTCCCCGGAGGTTTTAAAGACCAGTACCTGGGCGTTTTCAATGACACCAACAACGGTAACGCCAACAACCATATTTTTGCTGTAGAGCTTGACTCCGTACAGAACCCCGAGTTTGGCGACATCAACAACAACCATGTTGGGATTGATATCAATGGTTTGCGCTCAGTGAAGTCAAATCCAGCGGGATATCATGCTCTAAACAATGGCGGTTTCCGAAACTTGACCCTCATCAGTGGTCAACCAATGCAAGTTTGGGTGGAGTATGATGGTATCCAGAAGCAAATCAAAGTCACTTTGGGTCCAATCAATGTTGATAAACCCCATATTCCACTCTTGTCTTTGAAGTATGACCTTTCCACGGTCCTTAACACGACCATGTATGTTGGCTTCTCCTCTGGCTCAGTCTTCACATCTCATTATGTTCTAGGATGGAGCTTTGAGATGAATGGCCAGGCTCCAGAACTTGTTCTCTCACAACTTCCTAAGCTGCCCCGGATAGGACGTAAAAAAATATCTAATTTTTTGACCGTTGGTGTGCCTGTGATGTCTGTGAGTTTGGTTTTGCTAGCAATTTCAAGTTTAATTTATGCCATAAGAAGGAAGAAGAAGTTTGCAGAGCTGCTTGAAGATTGGGAGCTTGAGTATGGGCCTCAAAGGTTTAAATACAAAGAGTTATATATGGCAACAAAAGGGTTTATGGAGAAGGAGCTTTTGGGAAGTGGGGGATTTGGTAAGGTCTATAAAGGCATATTACCTTCCTCCAAAACTGAGATTGCAGTGAAGATGGTCTCACATGAATCAAGACAGGGGATGAAGGAGTTTGTTGCAGAAATTATTAGCATTGGCAGACTTCGTCACCGAAATTTAGTACCACTGTTGGGATATTGCAGAAGAAAAGGGGAGCTGCTCTTGGTCTATGACTACATGCCTAATGGAAGCCTGGACAAATACCTATACGACCAACCAGTGGTCACTCTCAATTGGAGGCAGAGGTTCAGAGTGATCAAAGGTGTGGCTTCAGCGTTGTTCTATCTTCATGAAGAATGGGAACAAGTTGTGGTTCACAGAGATGTGAAGGCCAGTAACATATTACTAGATTCAGAATTTAATGCAAGACTAGGAGATTTTGGCCTTGCAAGATTATATGACCACGGAAAGGACCCTAAGACTACTCGTATAGTTGGAACACTTGGGTATCTAGCTCCGGAGAATGCAAGATTAGGCAGGGCCACAACGCAAGCCGATGTGTTTTCTTTTGGGGCATTTTTGCTTGAAGTTGCCTGTGGAAGAAGGCCAATACAGACACAAGGTGTTCTGGTTGATTTGGTGTTTTCTTGTTGGAAGAGAAGTAATATTCTTGAGGTAATAGATATAAACTTGGGTTCAGAATTCGTAGCTGAGGAGGTGGAATTGGTGTTGAAGCTTGGGCTGTTGTGCTCTAATTCAGAGCCTTCTGCTAGGCCAAGCATGCGTCAAGTAGTGCATTATTTAGAGGGTGACATTCCACTGCCGGAGTTATCATCTCTTGGTCTTTCTTCTGGTGGCTTGAAGTTCGCACACCGCCAAGGTTTTGATGATTCGGCAATGTCATATCCGTCTTCCATGGGCAAGGAGACGTCATATGTTCCAGAGCCGACACTTCTCTCAGGTGGTCGCTGAGGCCAATCAATTAAGATTCTCACCCAAGCTGCCATGCACGAGGCATAGAACATATACATGCAGCTTTGAATGTTTCCTTTAGTTTATTAGTCTGTAACTAGTTACATTAAATCAATGCTGCATATAAAATAGGCATGGAAATTTTGTTTCCTCTAGTTTATTAGTTTGTAACTAGTTACTATTTTTTATATCTTTTTGTTGATGTTGATAATATAATATTTTTTATATAAGAAAACAGACATGGAAATTTTAATCTTAATAAATAGTAAAAAATTAGAACGGGAAAAAGGAGCAATTTTAAGAGGCGGCAGTCGGTTGGGTCCGGAATGCGGACCGAATCTTGGACTAGTAATTACTGGATGAGTGTGGCGGAGAGCTCCGCAGACCTCCTTCAGTTCTCAACTTTCAGATCCTTCACCGTCATCCGTTGTCAAAACAGATCTCTGGCCATTTTCTAGATAATGGGGTTTGGCAGAAACCTCAATTTCTATTTGCTACATCACGTTGTTGTAGGAGCAGGATTGAATTCTTGAACCTTCTAGATGCTAGCTTTTCTGTGTTTTTGCCTCCAACTATTTTGGCTCCGTCGCCTTAAACCAAGTACATTTGCATCACTGCGAAGGTTCAAAATTTAGTCGTGGAAACGACAGACCTCTCCCCCAGCTAAGTACACTTTGAAGCATTAGACTGGCCACAGGTTTCTCTCTGTCCATGTGCCCTTTGTGCGTTTGTAATTGTCAAGTTTTCTTTAATGTCTTTGTGAAATTTGAATTTACATTATATATATGGACATACTGGTGTGCCAATATTGTAGCACTAGTTGATGATTGTGGCAATCTGCATGGAAATTGCAAACTTGTTAGCTTTTGTTTCGGTATATGATCATTTTATAAAAATAAATTTGGCATTTTGCTGCATGAAGAATTTGATATCGGGACACTTGTTTACTCCTTTTTGGTAACAGTAAGTTGTTAAGATATGGGGTCGGAGAGTCTTGTACCTTTGTATCTATAGAATTGATCAGGACACTAGTGGGAGACGAGTGTGAGTGATTGTAAAACTAGGGTCTTGGCTGAGAACCGGGCCGAATCGGACTGGATGGATGAACAATATCAATTCTGTTTTAATTTTGGTTGAGAATCAGGCCGAACCGGACCTTGCCCAGACCTAGTGTTTGTGCAAATAATCCTTCTCTCTCTTCCTCAATTCCTGTAAAAAAGATTGGAGTAAGTAGACCACACCCAGGGGGTGTTGGCCAAAGGCCCTCCGATGCCTAAGTTAGTTCGAGTGTTTGTAGGAAAACAATAGCTAAACAAATGGTACGGAGTTTATGTATGGTGTGAACCGGACGGCTCCTGCCTAAGTTAGTTCGAGTGTTTGTAGGAAAACAATAGCTAAGCAAATGGTACGGAGTTTATGTATGGTGTGAACCGGACGGCCGGAGCCGTGTGTTGTGGCTGGAGCCGTGTGGAGAAAATATGGAGATTGGAGAGGGAGAGAGAGCTTCGGGTATTAGGAGTAGGTTTAGATGTACCTTGAATGATGAATGAGGTCGTCTATTTATAGGAGCCTCAGGGCTAGGGTTTCGTAGAGAATATACTGAGTTTATTCTCTACCCAAATTCGTAGGGCTTATATAATATCTAATTTAATGATATTATCTCTTTATATGAAGATAATATTTGAATTAAATGATATTATCTCTTTTTATGAAGATAATATCTAAATTAATGATATTATATTCTCTTTATTAGGATAATATCTGAATTAATGATATTATCTTATTAAATAAAGATAATATCATATTAATAAAGATATTTATCTCAATCAATTAATTGGGCAGATAAACTAGTTCAATTAATTAATTAAAAGATATAATATTCTTTTTGACAGGACCTGCCCCAGAATTTCCCCTGAAACAGGGGCGGACCTCGTCTTGGTGCCAATATCGCACAAACCCAACAAAAATTCAACATGCATAATTTGCATAATATAAATCTCAACTGCCAGCATGCTTTTAACATACAACAATCCAAATAAAGTGGCCTCTGGCCTCAAGTAACAACCTAACATAGGCGATAACAGAGCATATAACAGAATTAGTTTACAACAACAGTTAAGTAGAAGGAAATTACACAGAGCCTAACTACAGAAGGAATGATTCGGCCTCGAACACCGCTTTCGAGCTTCCAAAAGCGACTACTGTATGGGGGGCGTAAAACAGAAAATACATGAGTGGACAAAAATAAAGTTTGCATTTAAAACAACATAACAACCCCACCATGTAAAAATAATGCTCAAGCATGCAGATTCACAATTCATAAAACGAATACTCAAAAATATTATTCTCAAAAACCCACTGAACCCAACTCTCAAATCACAACTCCATTCCCAAAATTATGCAACTCTTTCTAACCCACTACATACATATATATATACACATATATAAATATAACATATACTTCTCTCCATACTAATGTACCAGGGAAACAATCCAACCGGGAGATTATTTGGCTGATACGCAGGATTTTCGAGCACTAACCCGCGTCCAGGGATGAGTAGTCCAACTGGGGGACGGAACTCCATAGCTCACACGCCGACACTGCCAACGACAAGGACAGCTCACAAATCTCATAACAAGTCCTACGCGCGCAGACAATATCATCACCCCACCGGCACTGCCAACGACGTGTGTGATAAAACTAAGCAATATACATACTCTTCCCATACGCCGGCACTGCCAAGGACATGTATGGGAAGTGTCTCACACACCGGCACTGCCAACGACATGTGTGAGACCCACAATCTCATGGCCTTCCCACCCCACCGGCACTGCCAACGACGTGTGTGGGAAGCCTAGTAACTAGGGAATGGTACTCACCTAACATACTCGTACATCTCACAACTATCCCTCAAACTCATATCTTTCCACAATCTCACCACAACAACCTCTCATACTCTATACATAGGCAATATAGATAAACATACCAAAATTCATATAAACATATTCCTCATACTGAAATATATCCATATTCAAAATATATTGCCAATACGCATAAGAATATTCAAATCCATCAACCAAATAATTATTAAATCAAAATCACCATTTAAAATATATGCACAAATTTTTGATCAATAAAACCATGCATATGCTTAAAACAAAGTCCACTAACAGATAATCCCAAGCTGCCCGGCCCCCAGAGGGTCCTGCCTGCTGCGAATGATCGACCGAAGTACCTATTTTGTGATACGAACTCTTGATTAATATAACGCACTTCAAAACGGAAATTCACAAAAGGAAATACTTAAATCCCCAAGTTCCCGATGCGTGTACGTCCAATGGAATATCCTAAGGTCCGGTTACAGGTTTGAGAATCGCTTCCAATCGTACGATTATCGCTAATCCCCAAACTTCAAATTATTGAATCGGAACATTCGAGGCTCCGATTCACTATCCGCGAATTCCTATAGGTTTCTAATAGTACCTAGATAAACATACTTCAGTTTGGAAACGATCCGACGGTTAGGACTTATCGAACCTGGATAACGCACAATATGCGAAATCCGTTCGATAGTCAAACGACATCCAAATTGAGATCCGTAAAATCCTATGCACTCGTGACAACCTAAGGATCTCATCAAGATAAAAAGCAACTTCACCAGCCTTGCCCACGCTCCGCCACACCCGCCGGCTGCGCGTGGGTGTGTAGAGAAATTTCCGGCGACGGAAAATCTCCAAATCATGAGCCACCCTTCCTACCCTAGCTTCTTCTCGACGAAAGGAGCAACTTATTCAACTACGACAACGTCCAATTCGTACGAGAACTGGCCGGAATTTCACATTGAAAATTGGCCAAAACCTAACTTCCAAAATCGAGATTCTAAACCGCAAATCGATCAATTCCTATGCAACAGCCAGCTAGAACTCAGAAAATGGATGAGAAACCTCACCTCACCCATCGGAAATGGTGGCTGGAGGAGAAAGATCGAGCGGTGTGAAATTCTGTCCAAACCGGGTCATTTTCTACTGTTTCCCGCGAGCACCGTGGACG